AGAATCAAAATTCAAAATCTCCAAAAAAGAATTACATTCAACTCCAACAGATTCTCTATTTCTAGAGATTAAAATATTATTTATATTATCAAAATATTTTAGAGATTTTAATATAAATTATATTATTATAATATTATTTAATTTATCATCTCAATACATTTTTAAAAAGAAATTTTATATAACTTAATAAAATTCAATCTCACTAGTGCGATTGAATAAAATAATCATTTCTCTTTCTCCATCATCAAATTTTAGAAAATTCTCTAAACTTGAAGTTTTTTTCATTTTTTCTTTATTTTAGAGAACATTATACAGAAACTGTTAGAGCATTATACAGAACAAAAAGTTGATTTTCTCTATTTTAGAGCTGTTGGAGATGTTGTAACAAAGTAGCTAAAGTTACAATGTTTAACATTCAATATATCAAAAATACAAAAATTAATAAATAAGTCAGTACCATGGTACTATCATATTATGCAACTTCTAATACATCTTTACTTATACTAAATAAGTAACTTGAGTGACATGTGTCATCTTCTGGTGAGTCGGTTTTCTTGTTTTCCCGCCTAAACATGTATCTAAACACATTTTACATTAGTGATTCAATTAGATCCATTTGAACGTATCTAGACACAATTTACATTAACAGTTCAATTATACTCATTTGATTGACATATGTCCTCTTATTCAATCAATTCCACTAATTTAGGATGCAATTGATTTTATTTTTGGGTTAATTAATTCGTGTGGTAATTGATTCCCGAAAAAATAATATTTACTTCTAAGTTTAAATTCAAGTTACCGATATAGTTTCATTTCTAAATTAATTTTTTTATTCTAGGGTTAATTTCATTTTATTCTAAATTCAATTTACTGAAAAATTCTAGTTCAGAGTTATTTCAAGAGAACAAGTTTGAAGTCATTCTTCAGAGTTAGTTCACCCGAACTCTGAAGTTTTCTTTTTCAGACATAGCTCATCCGAACTTCTGGAGTTTGAACTCTGAAGTCTTCTTTTTCAAACTTATAAGTCTGAACTTTGAAGTCTTCTGCAATTCTGAATAGTCATTCTTCAGAGCTACCTCACTTGAATTCTGAAGTCTTCATTAAGTAGTATATGAAACAATTTCATAACCACATATGAAACAACTTCATCAAAAAAAGTATTATATGAAACAATTTCACAAGATTAACAAATTCATGAAAAAATTTCATAAGATTAACGATTGATGAGAGTAGTTTTTACGGTTTTTACAAATTGGAATGATTTTTCATTTGATC